GTATATTATATACCATGATAAGTTAAAAAATTTTAAAACAATTTGATTGTTTACTATTTTATGTTACTTTTTTACAAATTAATTATTTACTTTATATAAAGCATTTTTGTAATTCTTTGCTTGCATGTTATGAGACACTATATCCACATCAGCTTCATTTAGTTCAGTATTTTATTGGTAAAGAGTGAGATATTGAGATAAGATAGCTAAGGTCGTTTAGTAAAGTATAAGTAAAGAATTAGATGCATAATCAAAACAGCAAAGCAGGCAGTATCTAAAGATATTATCCTTACAGAAAATATACCTTAAGGTCAGAGGTAAAGTGATTATGATACAGAGGTAAGTTTAGAGGTAACCCACAGCGATAGAGGTAACGCAGCGATAGTTTGGTAGCTCAGAATTAAAGAGGTTTTAGAGATACATTAGTTTCTTGCTCAAATTATTTAAAGTATAAGTGATGTTCAAGTATTTTGTGATGTATACTTTAATGGTTTTATGTATAAACTTTGAACACACCAAATTTAGCCTTTGTTCCAAAAAGTATTTTAACTTATGAAAGAAAAAAAAAAGGTTAAAAACAAAAATTAAAAAAACAAAGAAGAATTGCATTTAAAAATTGTTATTTGAAGTTCAAGATGGTTAACTTATTTGCTTTTTTGAAAAAAATATAAAATCCTGTATAACTTATTCTTGAATAAATTGCTTATTTTTGAATAAATTACTAAATTATGTATTTTATTTTCTTTACTTGACACTGATGTGATATAATATTGCTATCAATTATAGGCACAGAATGAATGGTCGAACAGCGTTATGGGTTCCAGGCTGTGATCATGCGGGAATAGCAACACAAGTAGTTGTAGAGCGCAAATTAAAGAAAGATCTAAATATAAGTAGACATGATTTAGGACGAGATAAGTTCATAGAAAAAGTATGGGAATGGAAAAATACCAAAGGAGATCGTATATACCATCAGATGCGTAAGATGGGTATCTCAGTAGATTGGGATAGAGTAAGTTTTACAATGGATGAAAAGTTATCAACAGCTGTCAAGGAGGCTTTTGTTCGGTTGCATGACAAAAAATTAATTTACAGATCCAATCGATTAGTGAACTGGTCATGTGCTCTAAATTCAGCGATATCTGATATTGAAGTTAGTTATTATTTCTTCATTTTATTTGTTTAATTCTTTTTAATTTTTCAAATGATTGATTTTAGTATTAATAAAAAAAAAAAAAAAAAAAAAAAAAACATATTTAGATTTAAATTTTATAAAAATAATTTCTATTAACAAACTACTAAGTCAATTATTTATTTTTAAAAGAAAAATTATGTACAAATTCCTTTAAAGTTGATCACTTAAGTCAAAAAATAATGTTAACATGCTAACTTTATACCAAAAAATTATTCAATAAAATGAACTTATATAAATAGAAAAGCATTTCTGCTTTAATTTTTTGTAATCAATAAATTAAAGGAACTTATTTCTGATTCTTAATTGTGCATGTTGAATATATTTTGGAAAGGTATTTTTTATTAAGGTTGTAAGTGATTTTCATTTATTATTGGCCATTGTTTTAACAAGTTACCACTTGACAAGTTGCCACATAAAACATTGTTTTAACAAGAGAAAAGTCTGATATAAAACCTTCATTTTAATTTTGAATTAGCGAAGGAAGAGCAGGTTAACCTTGGATGTTAATCTTTCTTGTGGTATTAGGGTGTGTCACACTAACTACTCGTTTTTATCTAATTTTAGAAATAATGAGTTCATTTTTGTGAAGAATTTTATGAGGATTTTGAATCTGCAAAAATAAATTAGATCTGAAAATATTTTGCTTTTTTATAAATAAAAATTGATTAAAATATTTCTAATTTAAGTGAAAAAACTTAACGTAAATAAAAAGGCAGCATATAAACTTTTTTAAATATAACATAATTTAATTTTATATTGTGATCAGCGACGTAAGGTATAATGAAAATTTTTTCATTATACCTGAACAGTTTGTTTTATTTTTTAATTTTGAAAAATAAAATAAAGTGTTAAAAAAAATACATTCAAAGGTTTAAAATTTAAAAGTTAATTCAAAATGGTTCCCATGTTCACATTGTTGTCGTCATCTCTGTTGAGATGATAGTGACAACATGTTAGAGTTTTGTTCATTCATTATATATGTAATACAAACAATTAAAAAATAATTGTTTTTTTTTGTTTTTAAGTTCAATAGTATATTTTATAGAAGGATTTTGCTCGTTTAAGTGTTAATTGAGATTGAAAATATATATTCAATACGTCAATTAATTTCTTACTTTAATATGTTTCTTTTGCTTCATTTTAAGTATAAACTAATAATTTTTTTCATGTAATCATTCTTTATATTTTCTTTATATTTTTTGGTATGTAATGGAATTCTTATTTTAAACAGTTTTGAAATTGTTTGATATGTATTTTTGAAGGAAGATTTGATTTGTTGAATTCAAATTACACTTTTAAAAATATATTATGATTTAATTTTAAATTAGCAATATTTTGCTTACCTATTGCAGTTATCTGACCACACTGTCATCAGATGTAATAAAAAAATTATTGAAACGTTATATAAACCATAAAAAGGTATTAAAAGGCGTAAAGTATAAAAATTAGTCAAACAGTCTTATGGTGTTGTCAATTAAAATAATTTGGAAAAAATGGTCCCAAATTATGGTTTTTGCATTGGCCCCGTCATTTTGGTTGAAATAACTCTCAAACTTTCCAGTTTATATTGAATTTTCGCTTTATTGTTTTTAAGTGTTTCCCTTATTTTTCTACTCAGATATTCTGGAATAACTGCAAATGTACCCCTACATGTTTTTAAATGTTCAGTGGCTCCTGAACTTTTGTATCCTGAGTAAAAAATATATATCATCAAATTAGTTTATATTAGTTTTAATTACTAGTTAAAATGTGAAGTATAAAATGCAAACTTTGTGAAAGTCATCGCTAGTGAGTTTGGATTGCTGTGAGGACTTTTCAAGGACAACATCAAAATTATAAATGTATTCTTCTGTAGAAGAATACACTAATAACTTTCGTCTTCATAAAACAGTGCTTTTTGTGTTTTTATTAAAAATCTTGATTTTAAACAGAGTTGATCTTCAAGGCAACGATCTACTTGTATCCATTTATAAAATTATAACATTCTTCAATTGTTTTTAGCATTTTAACAGATCTTAAATTTTAAAATATACTCATTGACATCTGATTCACAAGTAAATTTATACAAGTTAATATTTTGTAGTTTTCAACAAGCTAAAATAGAATTTCTTTTGAGCGCCTGATGTAAAGCTTGTTTTTTTTTTTAAAAAAAAAATCTTGCTTTGTATTGGTTAAATCTGTTGCTGGTTCCAACTGTATTCTAGACTTTTAATTTTTCTAACAATAGGACCCATTCTCCAAAATATTCCTAAATTACCTGTATCCTATTTTTTCAAATGGTTTGAATATTTAAAAATGTTACCTCGCAAAACTGTGGAAATGATTGATTGCTATATGTACCACACTGATGCTCTTATTCAATACAGGTTATGGTAAGTCTGTTTCATACTGACTGTTTCTATACTTTTTCTTAATATGGTCTCTTTACTTCAATATTTTCAGTAAAGAGTATAAAAGTTATTTATTTAAATAGCAAGATTTTGGATTAAAGTTTGACACACAGATGACAATTTCATAAAATTTCTCTCAGTGATTTTTAAAATTTATAGTTATAATAATTCTAAAAACAAAAGTTTACAAAAGTTACATATTATTTATAAATAATCATATTCTATAATTATACTATTTATGATAGGAATAATTCTTATTAAAATACAGCGTGTAACGGCATCTTCTTAATATCTTAATAATATTGCAACAGCAAATAAAATTATTTAAACAAAGACAGGGTATAATTAGTGAACAAAATGTAACATGAATAACTTTGCAACTCATTGCTGGTACTTTCAAGAAATAATATATTGTTAGCTTCAATTAAGATTTTATTTGAATTTAAGAACATTCCTGAGTAGAATTTAAGAACATTCCTGAGTAATTGCAACTTTGTATGATAAAGTTTGTCAACTACTAGGAGATTTTCTTAAGGAGTTTTTTTTAATTTTAAACTGGTTATTACTTCTTGTTGCAATTGTTTAAATTTTAATTGGTATCTAAATTTAGTTGACAAAAGCGAAGTATTCTCTAGCGAAGCAAAGTATTCTCTAGCGAAGGGAAGTATTCTCTAGCGAAGTAAAACTAAAAGTTTTACAGATAAAATTTATATTTGTTTTAACTATTATTTATTTTAATTCAAGTTTATCCAATCAAAATTTAAAATGCATAAGTTTGCACTACCCAATATTACAAAATTTAAATTGCATAAGTTTGCACTACCCAATATTACAAAATTTAAATTGCATAAGTTTGCACTACCCAATATTACAAAATTTAAATTGCATAAGTTTGCACAATATTACAAAACTTGACACACAAACAAACCACTGCAAAGATTTAAATTTTTTTTGGTTTTTAAAATTTCTTTAAAATTTTAAAAATTTAAAAGGATAATCACAAAAAAAAAATGAAATTTTTTTTTTGAGCTTTTCTAAATAGAGTTGATTAAGATTAGCAAGCTAAACAAACAAACAAAAAAAAAAGAATTTTGAAGCCCTAATACTAAAAGTAGTTATGATAATCCAACTTATTTTTTACAAATTATGTGCTCAACCACTATATAACAACCACAACTGTATAAGATACCATGATGTTACACAGTGATATAACACAGACACTCGGCGGCTCTGTATTTATTTTTAAAAATCTTAGTTTTTACTTAATTTAAAAAACTTGGCTAATGATCATGTACACATAGCCAGTGTGCAATATACTAATACACACAGCCGATGGGCTAAATAAATACACACATCTAGTGTACTACATACCAATACAAATAACCTACGAAATAGTTCTAAAATTTTTAACTTCATAATTGTTTTTTTTTTTTAGGTTGATAAAAAAGATATTAGTGGAAGAACATTATTAGATGTTCCAGGCTATAATCAAAAAATTGAATTCGGAGTTTTGATTCATTTTATGTATTCAATTGAAGGATCAGGTAAGTTAAACTTTCTTAAATTGACAAAAAATTTGTATTTTTAAATGTATATATATATATATGTGTATATATATATGTGTGTATGTGTGTATATATTATATGTATATGTATGAACCATTTCATTCTTTGTTTTAACATTTGTACTTTGTTTTTTGTTTTTTTAATATGTTTCAAAAGATAAATATTTATCATAAAAAAACATAATTATAAAAAAACAATATAAAGTAAAAAAAAAAACAGTTTAATAATACTTATTAAAAAATTCATTAGAAATGTTTTGTTACTTCATTAAAAAGCGCTTCGATAATATAAAAGCATTTAAGATCAAACTTATTTAATTGTAACGGCTTTCTGAAACATTTGTCTTTTTTTTTCAACGAAATTTTGTTTATCTTTTTCAAATGTTTTAACTTAAATTATTCTTATATTAAAATTTATTAAAGAAACTTTCATTGTCATCGTTTATAAAAACAAAACAATTTTTTATTTTTTAATAATGTCTATTATAAAAAATGCACACTTAAATAATTTATATATTACAAACTAAAAAAATATATACAACTGTCGATTATACTTTTTGTCGATTATACCTAATATTTCAGAATATTTTTCCTTCAGCATTTTCATCAAGATGTTTTTGGAAATAGCCACAGTCAAATCGTCAAAGCAAAAGATAATTTGCCTAGTCATATAAAAGCGTACAATCACACTCCTTCCTGTGAAAGACTATATATATATATATATATATATATATATATATATATATATATATATATATATATATATATATATATATATATATTTATACATACATATATATATATATATATATATATATATATATATATATATATATATATATATATATATATATATATATATATATATATATATATATATATATATATATATATATATATATATATATATATATATATATATATATATATATATATATATCAAGCCTTCCCAGGAAAAGTGTGCGGTTTTTCGTCTTGTATGACCACACGTGAGTATATTATGTTAGACAACTTGAACACGGCCATTCGCAAGTTTTATAATAATGCTGAAAAAGTTTCGAAAACAAAAAAAAACAAAAAACTAACAAAATAAAAAGAGATTAAAATAGAAAAAAGTTAAAACACATTAATAATTTAAATAATTTGTGTACTGTTTTTATTTTTGTTTCTTTAGAGTTACATTCAGCAACAAAATTAGATAAGGCGAAGCAAAATAAAAACAGTTTGAAGTCTACAATAAAAAGAATGATTTTCCTTTTCTTAATTTTTTTTTTAAGAATAGCAAAAATACAAATTGTTGCAATTTGTATTTTTGCTATTCTCTTAAAACGTGCAACGTGTTTGTAAAATTTATTTGTATAATTTTAATGTAACAACAAGGGTTGAATTAAGCGAATGCAAAACGCAAAATCTGGAAAAATATCTAGTATTCAAAATTTTAGTTTATACAAAACCGTGTTCCTTGTTTTTAAGGGGATAATCAACTTAAATTTGTTAGCGAAAAAGTAGAAAATAAAACATTAAACTTACGATTACAAAAGTAATAAAACTCTAGTCACTAACTGCATTACAAAAGTAATAACACTATAACAGTGTTATTATTTTTATAACGCACTTATATTTTTTAAAATTCATTCTTTGTTCAAGCAACATTAGTATTCCCAAATTTTAATTGAAGTAGAAAAATATCTAGAAGAATAAAGTGGATGTTCAAATAATATTAAAACTTAAATAACTTACAAAAACGTGACAACTTTATAAAAACGTATCATATTAAAAGTATAGCATTATGAAAAATGTTACTAATGGACCGTAAAAACGTGCGATAATTTTAAAATTAACGCGTGTTTTTATGTAACGTTTTTCATAATGCTATACTTTTTATAAAGTACTTCAGTATAACATTTATGTGATCTGTGAAAGTTCCTGAAATTTTTATTAGTATTTGAATATCCGCTTTATTTTTTCTTTATTTTTTCTACTTTAATAAATGTTTGGAATTAATAATGTTGTTTGAACAAAAAATGAACTTTAAAAGTAATAAGTGCTTTATAAATGTAATAACACTGTTATAGTTTTATTACTTCTATAATGCAGTTAGTAACTAAAGTGTTATTACTTTTGTAGTCGTAAGTCTATTGTTTTTGTTTTGTTCTCTGTAACTTTCTCGCTAGCAAACTTCTAATGATTTGCTCCTTATAAACAAAGTACACAGCTTTGTATGAACTAAAGTTTTAAAGACCTAATATTTTACCAGAGTTTGCAAATCAGGATCGTATAATTTAACTCTTGATATAAACTTGTTACATTATAATTATACAAATATATTTTACAAACAGATGACAATACAT